TTCCATTGCTTCCTTCCATTTTGCCTTGTGTTCCCCCCCCCAGAGCCTGCGACAGAGTCGTTGGCTCGCGCAGTGATGGCGGCGGCGGGCTTTGGACGGCGACCCATAGTCCAAGTATCTGCAGGCCCGTGTGTGTGTGTCGAGGGGAGTTGTCATCTGCGTTCAGAGACATTTGTGTCGACCGGTTGAGGTGTAGCGTAACCCTGGTCAGTGAAGTGGTAATAGGTGTCGAGGTTGATACTATCGAGAGGATTGTCGTCGTTGAGTGGAATGGGCACGGAGCAGTAAGGGAGTGGTCCGGCAGCTTCCGAGGCTTCACGCACGTCTTCTTCTGCTGCGTCAGCTTCGGCAGCACGGTCGGTGAAGGACCGATGGCCCTCGAAGCCGTCGGTGGGGTCGTCTGTGTTGGCGATGTTGTCCAGGTAATGTTGCAGCGTCAGTCGCTCGTAGAAAATCACATCACGTGAGGCCACTGTGGTTTTGTCCTGAATGTCGAGAAGTTTCCATGCTTGGAAATGTTTTGCGATGCCGAGGTGTAGTCCCCACCGTGCTCGTTGAGAGAATCAACCTGCTCGGGCTGTATGGGATCTGTACTATACCATGCAGCCGAAGACTCGAAGTAATTCTGTTCAGCCCTATTTTCCTGTCCACAGCACGTGCGGTGATGCGCTGTTTGGAAGTGATGACGAGGACAGCAAATTGTGCAGGTGGACTGCATGCGTCATCGCGTCAGGCCAAAGGGTGTTGGGCAGTCTCATCCCAAGGAGCAGCTTCCGCATCGTCGTCTGCAAGGTTCTGTTCATCCTTTCTGCGATCCCCTGCTGCTGGTGAGCATAGGGCAGAGACACCAGGCGTCTGATGCCTCTTTCTGCCAAGTAGTTCCTGAATCATTGTGACTGGTACTCCAGTGCCCCGTCTGACTGGAAAATCTTAAGTTGGGAGCCCGATTCTCGTTCAGCGATGGGGAGCCACGTCGTGAAGGCTTCGAACACTTGATCACGTGTCTTGAGGTTGTAGTGCCAAACGTATCGTGTTGCTGCGTTGATGAACGTGATGACATAGTTGTACTCTGCTTCACTGTCGTCTCGAGGCATATTTAAGATGTCGCTGTAGACTTTTTCCATCGGTGCCTATGCAGGTGCGCTTGGATTGTGGTGCGACGGAAAAGGTTGGTGGGGAAGATCAGCTTCGGGACACGTAAAGCATCGTGCATGGGGTCGTCGAAGCTTCTGGCCGCTCGTTGTGAGAAGAGCGTCCTTTTCTAATACTCCGGCTTGTATGGTTTGTAGTACTGTACTGTTTGCAGGGTGTCCGAGGCGTTGATGCCAGATGTCGTCGGGAGCGCGATGGCCGGGTGAGCGCTGGTACATGTCAGTGTTGGAGAAGAACGCGACGACCGTGGCGGGACTGCGACAGACTTCTCGGGTGATGGGCATGAGTTGATTTGCTTCGGATGGCGGTCCTCGGATTGTTGGTGATGGCGCGCGGCTTGGTCCTGCTGTTGTTACTACATGTAATGTCGAGGAAGGTGTACTTGTTGGTACTTGTCGTTCTTGTCGGATGACTGCTAATGCTCGTGTTCTCTCTACTGCAGGGATGGTGTTGGAGTACCAGAAGCCGTCTGGGGTAAGGTCGGGGTCAAGATCCAGTGGGTGCGTCCAGGCGGCAAACGACACGATGCCATCGCTGTCGGCAGTACCGTGGTTGGGGACGAAATCCAGCACGAAGACGCCCAACTTCAGGAGAGCGCGACCGATGAAGAGGCCGCCCTTCCCGTGGTAAAGACGTAACTCATTGTCGTCCGAGTCGCATGCCAGGTGAATCCCCTTCGCCATTAACTGGCTGACGCTTAGTAGATTGTATCCCAAGTTGTCGACGATGAGAACTTTGTTGAGCTGCTGTATAATGTTTGTCTCCATTGACTGTAGCTGAACGACGCCTTGTCTATTTGCTCTCAGGTTCTCGTTGTTGGCGATGGTGATGATAACATCGCGGTTGAGGCATCGTTCTTGTTGCACGAAGCACCCGGAAGAACACATGTGTTGGCCGCAGCAACTGTCCAAGAACCAGGTGTTTCGCCCGGTGGGTTCGGCGTTGGCGACTGCAGCGTACGTCGGGTTGACCTGGAGACCTTGTGAGCGTGGCGGCAGCAGTTCTTCTTCGTCTAGAGCGTTAGCGGGTGGTGATCCGTGTGTGCAGTTGTCGATGTGTACCATGCAGTTAATAATATTCAGTGCGCCTTGTGCAGGTGTAGAGGAGCGACTTGGCGGATTCTCTTGAGTGGAGGTGACTTGCGGGTCTGCTGGACGATAAACTCGAGGGCGTGTGCAGTCAACTTTGGAGTGCTCGGATGTCTGACAATTGTGGCAGAACGGCGGCATGATGGTGAGTCCTCTTGTGTCGTGTCGGTTCTGCTTTTCACGTCGGTTGTAGTTAATGTCGTTTCTTCGTTGAGTATAGAAGACTAACGGTTGCTGCTTGTTTCTTGGTTGTCTTTCTTCAAACAGGTCCATCTCCTGTTGTTCGGCGTGAAGCTCGGCGCAGAGGTGCATCTCGGAAATTTGTCCGTGGGCGCGAAGGAGCGAGCGGGTGGTTCTCCACTCTGGTCCGAGACTGGCGAGAACAAGTGTCACGAAGCTTTCTTCAGTGATTGTACCTCCGCACCGAAGCAGGCGGTCGCGGAGTGTCTGGCAGTGACTCATATACTGCTTCGCCTTTTCCCCGGTCTTCATTTGTATTGTTGCTAGCTGTTGCATGAGTCTGCTTTGTGTCACGCTGTCATTTGCTTGATAGAGACACTTCAGTTGATGCCAGGCGAGCTCCGCGGAGTTTCCGTAGCTCCGATACGTTCTGATGCTCTGTTGCTCTTGTGGTGACAGATTTCAAAGGAGAACTGTGTACGCCAGCAGCGACTGATAAGTGAAGATTTCCTGCTCCTTTGCAGTGCCATTACTTGGAAATGGCAGGGACTCGTTGACGTATCCCAAGAGGTGCGCGGCCTCCATCAGCAGCTCGAACTCAAAACTCCAGGTAAAGAAGCCGTGCCCGTTGAATGGTGAAGATGTCTGCAGTTTGATCACATGTGAAAACTGCGCCTGGAGACTCAATATCTCGTTTGGTGTCTGTTGTAATGCAGTTACTGTCGGTTGAGCATGGGGCGGCATGAACTCGAACGTCCCCGGTGAAGAGTGATAAGGCGCAAAGGTAGGCGCCTGGTTGTGCCGCCCGAATGATGACTTGTCGAGGCTCATTGGTGCTAATCCCATATTTCCTCCATTGCTCTATGTTGAATGCGCAGGTGTCCTTGTCAGCTGCTGCTGGTCAAAGTGCGACATGAAGCTGAAGAACCTTTCCATAAGGTTCGGGTCCACGCTTGAAGAGGGTGAAGGGGTCACCATTTCTGTTACCCTCCCTGTTGTTTCTTGAGCAGCGCCGATCTCAGTTTGTAGTCCTGAAGTGTGTAGTCCAGAGTTGCCGGGTTGAGTGTCTTGGGCGCTGGGTGAGCCCGTAGAAGACTTCTTGCCCTTGTTGTCCATGACTTGTAATCGATGAATCTCTTGATGTGCTTGAATGTAGATAGAGCGTTGTTGCTGGGAGTTTGGTCTCTGACCAGCTCTCATACCATGTTGGGCTGAGAAAAGTCCTTAGGATCTTTCCAAAGACTAAGTCCCACTTGTTCAAGGTGTTTGAGTAGTACAACGGAAGTGTTGAGTAGTTGAACCCTTGCACTAGTATGTGAGAGCAAGTGATAATTAAAAGAAGCAAGCATAGAGCAATATATAGAAAATAGGAAATAGAGCAGTTGTAGAATACAGTTGAAGAAACGGTTATCGAGTCGCACAGCGACTCGATCGCTGGTTCGGTTACCACCCTTGCAGTCGTAACGGTCAGTCGCAACCTCCGGATGCGATCCTTCGAGTCCCTTCGTCCTTCCGTGTTCTTTCATCCAACCTGTCGTGAAGGTAGGATAACTAGGACGCCATGACTATGGCGGCGGGGTTTAGCTAGGAGGTAGGCGAGAGGAATGTCGAGAGAGTTGAACTAGAAGAGAATCAGTTACAAGAAGGGAAGTTATCCCCTCTACAATATGATGCAGTAGCACAACTATCAAGCCTACAATTATATTAAATATAGTATGAACACAACCTCCTCGTGTAACCTCCGTTGACTCGCGTACTCGATACGACTTTCCTTCGAGTGTAGTGTTACACTTCAGAAACGCTTAAGTTTTCGAGGTATTTCCATCATGCTTCATATCTTATTTTCTATATATTGCTGTATGCTTGTTTCTTTTAATCAATCACTTGCTCTCACATACTAGTGCAAGGGTTCAAATACTCAACACTTCCGCTGCACTACTCAAGCACTTCATACAAGTGGGACTTAGTCTCTGAAAAGATCCTAGGGCTTTTCTCAGCCCAACAAGAACCCTACAAAATATACCTGATGAGTCAGGCTTATTTTGTTTTTGGCATGACAAAACATGCACTGTCTAACTTAATGTGCTAGGTTAACATCCTAACCACCCTAAAAAATCGCCAAGGTTCAACCCTATCATGTCAGCTCTGAAACAATCCAGTCCTGATAATTCAGCCTTCGAAAAAAATTACCGTGAAAATGTTTGCAAATTTCAAAACCCGACCCTGAAAAACGGGGGCTCCTGCTGGGGGCATCCTGAGCCAACAGCCCCTCAAAATCCAATCTGAAGCCCTGATCGACACTCTTGAATCACGACTCCTTTACATTATTACACTGCCTGTTATTACTCTGATCATAACAAGAATGCGTTCCCTACTCCCCATCCATCCCCCTTTCCCCCACCAATCGCAACTCCGCTGCGTCGCGTCCGCGGTAGGTCGTTGCCCGTTGACCCGTGTTGACCACCCCTCCATTTCGAACCCCCTTCCTCGGCCTGGGTGACTGCGTCCCTCCTTTTCCTGCACCCTTCCTCAGCCCCAAGCATTGCCCAAATCTGCCCTGGTGCTCTCTCACCAGACAGTCAACCAGACAGCCGCCCTTCTGCGACTGTTTATGAGTTGCGATTGGCCTGTCTCTGACCTAACATCGCGACGATCTGATTCATTGACCCGCCAGGCATTTTTTCCTTCCTGCCACTGACCTGCGATCGCGGAAGGTATCAGTCTGACCTTGACCCGCCCCCGTTCTTCAGACCGCCCCCCCTTTTTACAGCTCGGAGTCGTCATGACGACGCCCTTCCATCGGTCCGCGGCGGAAGATATCGCGACTCTCTTGCGGCAGCGGGAGACACGGGAGGCCGTAAACCGTAGCGCCGATGGATCTCCGCTGTCCGTTTGGCAGCGGCTGCTGCCCGAACCGACCGATGGATTAGACGTAGATTCGGGGGAGAGAGAAGCGGAACAGTCTCTAGACGGTGTTATGAGAGACAGTAGCGCGAAGAAGGAGAGGGAAAAAGAGAGAGCGGGAGAGGGGGGTAGGGAGGGCGAGTCGGAGGACGAAACGGATAGGCAGATGGAAAGGGGGAGGGAGAGGGAGAGGGAGGTGAACATACGGCACTCGGTTGTGGAAATCGACGAGAAAACTCCGCTACTCGCGCCACTCAATAGCGGAGATTTGGTGGGTTACGGCGCGAGGAGAGAGGGACGAGACGGGGAAGCTAGGGTGGGGGGCATGCAGAGAAGCGGGGAAGCAAGGGAAATCATGGTTATAGAGTGAGGCAGAGGAGGAGCAGGAGGGCGAGGAGGCGGGGTAGGAGAAAGTGGAAAAGTGAGTGGTTTAGATATGTCAGGGGGGAATGCAGGTGTGGTGGCTCAAAAAGCAGGGCATGGGGCTGGGGAGGAGGAGGAAGAGGATCAGCCGCAGTGCAGAATATAACAACATATAAGATATGTTTGACACACCCCCTAGACTGGATATGGGCAGTGCCTGGTGAGAGACAAGTAGCTCAGGGTGGCACTACTAGTCCAACCTCTGAGATAAGGGTCTGAAGACCAGTCAAACGAGTACAGACAAGGCAAGAGAAAAACCAGGGCGGCACTACTAGTCCAGCCACTGGGAAGAGGCCACAAGGCCAGTCAGGGTAATATATATTAAGGTCTGTACACAATCAAGGTCCTAGCAAATGAGAGGCTACAGAAACAAGACCAAGCTGTACACAGTGCCGCTGATGATCTTTAGGTGCAAGCGCCATCGTAAAGATATCAGCTGTGTTGGCACCTGAGGCCAAGTGTACTACGCGGGCCTGGCGACGCTGCTGTAGCTCGCGCATGAGGAAGTACCGTAGCTGGATGTGCTTCGCTCTGCCCTCGAGTCGTGGCTCCTGACACAGGAGGATCATGGCCTCGTTGTCAGCGTACAGGACCGGGGCAGAGCTAGGCCGCTCACCTAAGTCTGTGAGCAAGAAAGTCAGCCAATGGAGCTCCTGTGCCGCCATGGCACCAGCGTAGATCTCAGCCTCACAGCTAGACTGGGCAACAGACGACAAACAGGTGGACCGCCACGAGATAGCACCTGCACCAAGGCTAAAGCAGTAGCTCTGGGAGGACCGGAGAGTCTCTGCGTCGTCGGCCCAAGAAGTGTCTGTGTGCCCGGTAAGGACCACTGGTCTGCGTCCTCCTAGCTCTAGCCCCAAGCCCAATGTAATTGCTAGATAACGCAAAACCCTCTTAGCTGCCGACCAGTGCTGTGGTCGGTGTCTGCCGGTGGCCACAAAGCGATCGAGGATGCTGAGAGGGTATGCGAGATCTGGACTAGTGCAAGTCATCAGGTACATGAGGCAACCCACTAGCTCTGCGTAGGGGCCACTAGGCTCTACAGCCTCCTCTGGGACTGGAGCAAAGAGTCTGTGGTCCATTGGTAGCGGGGTGGGCTGTGCGGAGGAGAACTGAAGGCCGAACCTCTCAAGGACCTAGCGCACCAAGTGTGATTGTGAGAGAGTGATGGTGCGCGCTGCTGTGTCAATGGAGATCTGCAAGCTAAGGTAACTGCTCAGCTCTCCGAGGTCAGTGCAGGTGTGTCTCCTCAGCAGCTCGGCCTTCACGGAGGCCAGCGCCTCTCTGTCTGCAGTAGCAAGACCAGGTGGTCTACGGACGAAGAGCGAGGGGTCTGCAGATGACGAGAAGACATGCAGATCAGCAAGTGTAGTATGCCACGTATCGTGCCATTCACGGGGCGCCTAACGCAAGCTGTAGACAGGGCGCCGGAGGAGCCATTCGATACCAGGGGGAAAGGTACCAGAGAAGCCCTGGGGGCGACGCAGGTAGACTTGTTCGTCTAGACTTCCCTAGAGTAAAGCTGTAGAGAACTGGAGGGAGTGGAGCTCGTAGTCACGATGTGTTGCTACGTGTAGCTGTGCCTGAAGAGTAGTCATCTCAAGGGTCTGGGTGAAGGTCTGAAAGAAGTCCACCCCATCACGCTGACTGAAGCCTCGAGCAACATAGCGCGCTTTGAAGACAGACGGCTCTCCAGGAGGGCGCTTCACCTTGAAGAGCCACCGGCCATCGACTACGTCCACGCCAGGTGGGGGAACTACGTCGACGAAGGTACCGGTGGATCTCCAAGATGCCATCTCCTGCTCCATGGCAGCTATCCACTGAGAGGCCCAAGGTCGCGAGGTGGCCTCAGCGTAGGTGCGAGGGGTCGGGATGTCAAGGGCGTCTGGGTCACCCTCAGGGACTAGTAGCATGGAACAGAGATGGGGAGCGGCCTCGGACGGGAAAGCGAGCTCAAACTGCATGTCCTTTAGGACGTCACTGCCAAGAGCAGCCACACCCTCAATGGGCGTAGGGAAGGCAGGGTCAGAGACCAGAGCGGTGGCGTACTCCAGGCGGCAAGTAGCGGCAAAGTCAGTGACAGCAGCGACAAGAGCCGATAGACTCGAGACAGGAACGGACAAGTCGGTAACAAGAGAGGCAAGGACAAGTGGAACAAGTGCCAGTTGGACGAGTCGAGGGGGGAACCTGGGAAGACACAGTGGACAGTGCGGGCAGTGAGCTTGTCCGTGCCAGAGGCACAAACGTGGGCAAGACTGCCCCAGACGTGGAACGCAGGCACGTCACCAGGGGACTTAGTCCAGAGGAGGGTCGGCAAAATCCGCGGCCGCTGAGGGTGCGGCCACAGGTTAAGCTGGTGAGCGGCGTAGCGAACGGCCACAGAAAATAGGGTCCACCGGCATGGATCATGGAGGTACGAGCCACCTCCATGACCAAACCGATGCAACGCTCAGCGACCTCATTCTGCTGCGGGGAGTCCGGAAGGGTGTACGTCTGGGTGATGCCCTCCGCACGACAGAAACGACCAACGCAAGCAGAGGCGAACTCGCCACCGCGGTCACAGTGAAGACGCAACACAGGGAGACCTCGGTGCACACGCGCCGAGACAAGCCACGAGACAAAAACGTTAGGCACGTCAGTATTCCGCTCCAGGGGAAACACGGTGGTGTAGCGCGTGTAGTCGTCGACAAGCACTAGGAAGTAGCGCTCACGACTCGGCCCATGGACAGGGGCGGGGCCCTAGACGTCCATGTGCAGGGTCTGCAGCGATGCGGCGGGGAGGGGGAACGAGGAGGAGTTAGGGGCACGACGGAGCCGGCCCTCGACACAAGGTGTGCATGGCGGCGCTAGTGAGGAGAGGAGCACAGGGAATGACTCAGGGAGACCTAAGACAAAACCGTGCTGGGAAATGTGACGGAGACGGGTGAGAGCGGGGTTACCTAGACGGTGGTGTTACAGAAGCGACGGGTGAGTAAGCAACCGACACGAGCAAGCCGCAGCAGCCTGGGTAGACGCTGCCACCTGGGGAGGCGTCCCAACCGGAGGGGGACGCGGTGTCCAGCGTGAATAGGCCAGACACCGGGTCCCCCAGGAACGTGGTGAGAGGGGCACCAGTGGCGGCCTCGGTACAGACAGCGTACCGCTCGTGCCCAGGGAGCGTAGTGATGATGCCAAGGTCCTGGAGGCAACCGACGCCAACTAGGTTCCTAGAGAAAGAGGGAATGTGCAGGCCTGTAAGGGAGCCCGAGGGAACCGCCGGATAGGGAAGGGTGGTGGAGCTACGGGCGACTATAGGACCCGAGGAAGGGTCTGCAAGAGCAACTGCGACGGGTGCAGCAAGCGGCGTAAGCGTAGTGGAGTCCCGAAAGACACACTGGGAAGCGTCGGATTCCAGGGTGAAGGAGAGGGCGGCAATGGTGATAGGGGTCGGAGGAGCGAGGGAGAACCCAAGGCTAAACAAGGCAGGGGATCCTACGCCTGACCCAGCAGGGGAGCCTGAACAAGGCACACTGGGCACAACTACACCAAGCAACACTGGGTAATAGGAACCAGTCACACTAGAGTCATCGACATACAGCACATACAGAGCAGAGCTCATCTCATCCACGTCCATATCAAAGATCCTAACACCACGGCGGAGTAGACTGTGCCTGTCGAGGAGGTCCGGCGATGGGCCAAAGTGGAGACGAAACAGGTCGTCTAGGCGACTGAAGCAACGAGTGGGGGTATGGCCGATATTACCGCACACGAGGTCATGGCGAGGACCGTTCTGGAGCTGGTAATGGCAGCGCCTGTCACTTTGACCACCACCCAGCATCGCACTGCGCGCACGACCACTGCGACCACCGCCACTGCCGGTGCCAGGCCACATGGGCGGGAGACGGCCGACCCGATGCTGCTGTTGCTGCTGCTGCTGCTGCTGCTGCTAGGGCTGCTACTCCGAGGCACCAGCCCCAGCCCCCTCATCTGGACTACCAGCGAGCGAGCCGCCTCCACCACCGCCACCACCCCCTCCGCCGCTACCGCCGCTGCGCCTTGCCTTGGGGCGGCGACCATTACCCGGACGAAACTGCGCTGCGGCGGCTGTCTCCGCAGCAGGAGCTGTCTAAGCGACAGCAGCAGAACCGTCACAGCAAGTGCACTAAGCGGGGGCACAGCCCTGAAAGATAGAGACTGGCACGGTACCGCTAGACTGGGCGATAGAGCGCTGACAAGTCTTTGTGGAAGACAGGGTATCGACAATGTCAATGAGGGTGAGGTCAGCAGGGTGGAGACTAAGGAAGTGATCGCGGGTGGTGGCAAGGCGGTCAGGAAGGTGGGTAGCAAGCAGGTAGAGGGTAGAGCAGATGGGGGGCTGAAACACACGAAGCTGGGCCTCAGTGCAGGGAGCGCGCCAGGTCGTGTCTAGCGTGCGCAGGTTGGCGGCCAGGTCAGCGACAGTAGGGACAAGATCAGGAAAGAGCATGGGCAGGATCAAGCGACCGACGGAGGCAGAGGGCGGGGTGGAATAGTGCGCGACAACAACCTCTAGGAACTCCTGCGCAGTCTTGACCGACCTAATGCGGGGGCGCTCGGGAAGGGGGAGGGCATGTTTAATCGCGAGCTGTCCGACAACGTCACGTGACAACCAGACAGCACGGGCAAGGGCAGCAGCGACAGCGGACTTACGGTCAGCAGACGTGGGGTCAGCGGGTAGAGCAGCAGGGGGGTCAGGGAAGGAGTACATACTGTCGATGTGGACGGTCAGGGAGTGGCCGTCTTGCCGCTGACCAGTCAGGTGGCGGCGGAGGTCGATGAGCCACGAATCAAACTCAACCGGCTGCCCCTCCGCATCAAAGCGCAGGACCAAGTTCGCCATCATGGTCGCTGCAGCAGCAGAAACGCGGTACTGGGCTGTACTGAGCGAGAGAATGCGGTGGGAAGTGGAGGGAATGTGGTGTGCGGTGCGGTGCTGTTCAGTGCGGTAGACGATGGTATATGGAGGTGCCGTATGGTAGGGTGCGGTGCAGTGCAGTGCAGAGCAGTGCAGTGCGGTGCAGTGTTGTGCTGTATGGTACAGTGCGGTGTAGTGCGATAGAGTGCGGTGCAGTGCGGTGGAGAGGGTTGATGACGGCGGCGAGGCGTCTAGGAGATGGGACCGCGGGCGGCGAGGCGACGGGGCCGGCTAGGCTACGGGGCTGGCTGAGGGACGAGGCCGGCTGAGCAACGGGGCCGGCTAGGCGACGGGGCCAATTAGGCGACAGGGCCGGCTGGGCGACGGGGCCGACTAGGCGACGGGACTGGCTGGGCGACAGGGCTGGCTAGGCGACCGGGACTGCTAGGTGACGGGGCCAGCTAGGCATCGGGGCCGGATGGGCGACGGGGCCGGCTGGGCGACGGGGCTGGCTGTGCGACGGGGTTGACTAGGCGACAGGGCCGGCTGGGCGATAGGGCCGGCTAGGCGACGGGGTCGGCTAGGCGGCGGGGCCGGCTGAGCTACGGGGCCGGCTGGGCGACGGGGTTGGCTAGGAGGCAGGGCCGACTCGGCTACGGGGCCGGCTAGGCGATGGGGTTGGCTTGGCGACGGAGCCGGCCAGGCGACGGGACCGGCTAGGCAACGGGGCCGGCTAGGAGGCGGGAGCGGCTAGGAGATGGGGCCGGCTGGGCTACGGGGCCGGCTAGGAAATGGGGCCGGCTAGGCAACAGGGGCCACTAGGGGACGGGCCAGCACGGGCAGGAGGGGAACGGGGTGGCTAGGACCTAGGGCGGAAGCTCTAGTGGGCGGGGGGTGGACCTCACCTAATCATGATACCATATCAAAGTTAACGAATGACTAGAAAGGTGGGATACAAGGGAATATAACCTAGTGGGTTGTACTCACAAAGGCACAACCCGGTGTAGTCGATAACAACATACAAAGATATGTTTGACAATATGTTGACACACCCCCTAGGCTTGGCAGTCGATACGCAGAGAATAGACCAGGGCAGGTCAAAAGAAAACACACCACGCACACAGCACACTAAGCCACACACCCCCTAAGCATAGCACCCCCATACTCAGCAGCAGTGACGGCTTCTCAAGCATGGTCAACCCCTCGGCGTGCGATGCGTCGACGTCGGTAGCGAGGGCAGCGACTGCAACATTGGCGACAGCTGCAGCGACGATAGCGGCAGCGGCAGCGGTGTGCGGCGGCGAGGCCAGCGGCACCAGCTGCGGCGGCGGCGGCTTCGACGACAGCAGCGGCGGCGGCGGAGCTCGCAGCACTCGACGGCGTGGCCTGGCTCCGCGACGGTAGGAAGGCCCGCGCAAGTCAGCCGTCAGCTGCGGTGAGGAAGAGGGGACGCAGGGGAAGGGGGCGGGGCTTCAGCAGCGGAGCCAGGGAGCGTGTCGCCCCGTGTAGCGCGCTGGCTGCATGCGGGCGTGCTGGCCAGCACTAAGACCGGGCGCTGGCCGCTGCTGTCCATGTCGTCCGTGTGCTGGCGCGTCGACGCCACCACAGCAGCACGACGACGCCATCACTGCAGCACGACATGGCCGTGGCGGCGGCGCGGAAAGGACAGGAGGGAGGAGCGAATGTTGCGGAAGTGTGATGAGCAGGCCCGAGCAGAAGGGCCTGCTATGAAACTATGTTAAAATAAGGCTAGGTTAAAACCCGACAGCAAAATAGCAGAGGGGGGTCCCTCTTGATAGTTGAGTGGGTGCAAAAAAACTAAGTCCCGAAACCTGGCGAAAAAACGAAACGTCCTAGTGCCCCAAAATTTGTAACTGTCGGGAAACAAAAGAGGATTTCACAAATCCTATTGGTTGCCCGAGAGTACTAGCCAATGCCAGCTCGAGGCGAAAACATATTGACAGCATGGCGCGTCATGCAGCCCCCCTGCGACATTTGTCGTAGGCCACGTGGGCCTCGATTTTTCCGCAGGGGGGTTCAAGAGGGAACCCCCTCTGCTATTCCTGTTTTTCGTGCGTTCCCTGGGCAAAAATCAAGTGGGGCCCCACTTGATAACCAAGTGGGACCCGTTTTGACGTGGCAAAATCGCGTGCCATGTCATGGCAAATTTTGGGGCACTAGGACGACGCGAAACAATATTCACACGGTACGCGAAACGATATTCACAGGGACGAAACGGATACGGCGGCTAGGCATGCTCGCGACGGCTAGGAACGGCCGCGACGGCAGCTAGGAACGGTTGCGACGGCTAGGTCCTCGCCGAGCTCGGCGCTCCCTAGCGCTGTCCCACCCTTCGGTGCGACAATGGCAGCATGATCCACCTCACCAAGGACCCGGACTTCCATGGGCGGTCCAAGCACATCGAGCTTCGCTATTTCTACATTCGCGAGCTCGTCCAGCAAGGTCATCTCGTCGTGCGCAAGATTGCCGCTGAGGCGGACTTGGCGGACATTTTCGCCAAGGCCTTGCCCAAAGCCGCCCACAAGGCCCTCCTTCGTCTCCTTGGCCTTGGTCCTCCTCAACCCTCCAGCGCTCCATGATTCAGGGGCTGTTCATCTCCTCCATCCTAGTCCTCTGCATGTTAAGGGGTTGTGTTGGATTATATATATCTGTTGTAACATGCTCGACTAGTATATTCGCTAGGTGTACACCAACCTGTGGTGTACACATCGAAGTGCGAGGGGTGTTAATCCAACCCTGGAGTGGTTGGAGCCCCCGAGCACCAAGAGCACAATATTGGGACCACGTACCGTAAGTGGCTCCCATGGTGTTGGGTACTGTTCCTACCTACCCAACTGCATGTGGCACTGTTCATCCTCCTCTTGCTAGCTTCCCTTCCTTCCCAACTTTCCTATGTATGCTCCTGTTTTCTATTACTGAAAGAACTTCAATTCTTTCAGCCCTTCCCTGAGGATCTTCTCAACAGTAACCCCAGCAAGTCTCTCGACACTAACAAGCACTCTGTTACAAGGACTTGGTTTTCTGAAAAGATCCTCGGGGTTTTCTCAGCCCAACACTATATACCGGCAGCAGCGGTACCAAACCTACCGATGGTACTACAGCAATCAGAGGAGCCCCAGGTCTCTGAGCTGTTGCTCGTGGTCCGGCTGGAGTGGCAGTGGCGACCAATCAGGAGGAAGAGATATTCCCGATAGATCTTCCACAATAAACTCCTGAGTGAAAATGGAGGGGAAGGGCGGCAGACAGAAAGCATTGTGAAAACAGTAGAATGGCAGGGTAAGTAACTGGAAACGTGGATGAACAACAAAAGGGGTTACACATACGGTAAGCTGGTGCATTGAACGGCTGTGCCAGCCAAATAGCGCAGCAGGATGGAAGTGAGCCAGTGCCTTAGTGAGGATCCCTAAACCATAGTTACACTGTGCAAAGCGAAAGGAAAACATCCTTCAAAACACAGACGAGCCAGTACCTTAGTGAGGATTCTCTTAGCGAGGACGTGGTTATGCCGCTGCCATATCCGCTGCACCACCAAGGTCGAAACCAACAGGCTATAGACCACTCCCACCAGCGCCAGCACGACCAGTAGGATCGCGCCAAGTGTCAGCAGGATGAAGAGACTAGCCTCCCCAGAGCCCCCTATGGCAGCAATGCAGTTGCCACAACCGGAGACGGAGCAGGAGCAGTCCGAGGAGACACAGCCGCACACACTGGGGGGGAGATGGGCGAACCGGAGAGACAGCGGGGAGAGGGGGAAGGAAGAGTACGAGGGAGAGGAAGAAGGAAGAGCAGGAAGAGCAAGAGGACGGACATATGGGTGCCATGTGGGAGGACACAACTGCCATGCACAATGCATGATGGAAGAGAGGGAAGCAGAGAGCGAGGGCATGTGAGAGAAAGCGGATGGCGTACTGAATGGAAGGGGGGTGAAAGAGCTGCGGGGGGGGGGGTGTGGGGTGAGGGGCGGGGGCGTGATGGACGTGAAACCGTCTGCACACGAAAAGGTGGCAGTGCAGCAGGCCTAGTAGTTCAGAGGTGCACCCACAAATGATTGCAGCAGCAGGCGCCCAGGTCTCTGCACGGGGCTGCTAGATCGCTGCGAAACCGACGGTCAACACACGTCATGACGGCCCCGAGAAGACCGGCAGACGCGAGGAAGAGCAGCACGCCTGAGGGGCTTCACGTGGGGGGAGGGAGGAAGGACGGTGGGAGTGCAGGGGGAGAGGGAGACATGAGCATGTAAAGCAAAGCGTTGATTAACGGCCAAGACAAGTCGTGAGGGCAAGTCGAACAAAATCACAATGCACGGCATGGATAACCCCCACCCACCGCATATGTAGTAGAGCGTTGCAGGGTTGTCCATGGCCCATGCTTTCTGAAAACCCTTGTCAAGCCAAAAATAATCCACCAGATAGACCAGGCAAGCAAAGAAAACCACCAGCTGGTGGTTTGGAGGAGATTGAAGAGAGGAGGACCGGAGGAGGGAGGAAGGGGTGGGAAGAGCATGAGAGGGGAGTGAATATCTTGCCACCAGAAAGGCAGGTGCGACGAAGTGCGCTTGGGTGTGCGTGTGTGCACGTGAGGGAAAGCGAGACAGTGTGTGAGGGCAGGCGAGACTTAAGCACTTCAGGTGGACCCACCATCTGCATCAGTAATGAGATACGGACAGTATCCCTCACAAGAAAGAATCTGAACTTCAGATTGCGCCTAGCACATTAACGAAGCGGGAAAACCAGACCAAGGCACTCTACCCACCATCTGCACCAGCAGAGTCACGAGCACAATGTCCCGCGCAACGAAGAATCTGAACTTGAGATGGCGGCATCGCACATCGGGTGGCGGACAGACGCGCAGGTGGAAGCGCGTCTTGCAGGTGGAGCAGTGGCAGAAGGCGAACCCTTCCTTCACCGACCGCCACTGGTCCAGGCACTGCCGGTGGACGAAGCGAGCCGAGCCCTTGCACTTGCAGGGGGCTATAAGGTCCCGACCTGGTGAGACGCATGGGGGACGGAATCAAATGGAAGGATGCGGTCTGACTGGCAGGTGGAGCAGCGGCAGCGTGTCCTTCACTGACCGCCATTGGTCCAAGCACTGCCAGTGAACGAACTGAGCTGAGCCCTTGCACTGGCGTGGGGCTATGAGGTTCCCACCTGCTGGGCGGCGCCAGGATGAGGGAACAGAAGGTGACAGGAGGGCGGGAAGAGTCTGCTGCCGCAAGTGGCTTTAGACACCTTCTCCAACCACTTGCAGGGGGCGGTGGGCCCCCCTTTGCGACGTCCCGCGACCCGGCCTGGTTGGGGGTGGTCGAAAAGAGGCGAGGCAAGGTAAGTCTACCCCAGGGTTCAGGCAAAAGAGGCTCGCCAATATGTCGCACGTACCGTCAGTCTCGAGGCATATTCTGCACTGCGGCTGATCCTCTTCCTCCTCCTCCCCAGCCCCATGCCCTGCTTTTTGAGCCACCACACCTGCATTCCCCCCTGACATATCTAACCCACTCACTTTTCCACTTTCTCCTACCCCGCCTCCTCGCCCTCCTGCTCCTCCTCTGCCTCGCTCCATAACCATGATTTCCCTTGCTTCCCCGCTTCTCTGCATGCCCCCCACCCTAGCTTCCCCGTCTCGTCCCTCTCTCCTCGCGCCGTAACCCACCAAATCTCCGCTATTGAGTGGCGCGAGTAGCGGAGTTTTCTCGTCGATTTCCACAACCGAGTGCCCTATGTTCACCTCCCTCTCCCTCTCCCTCCCCCTTTCCATCTGCCTATCCGTTTCGTCCTCCGACTCACCCTCCCTACCCCCCTCTCCCGCTCTCTCTTTTTCCCTCTCCTTCTTCGCGCTACTGTCTCTCATAACACCGTCTAGAGACTGTTCCGCTTCTCTCTCCCCCGAATCTACGTCTAATCCATCGGTCGGTTCGGGCAGCAGCCGCTGCCAAACGGACGGCGGAGATCCATCGGCGCTACGGTTTACGGCCTCCCGCGTCTCCCGCTGCCGCAAGAGAGTCGCGATATCTTCCGCCGCGGACCGATGGAAGGGCGTCGTCATGACGACTCCGAGCCGTAAAAGGGGGGGGCGGTCTGAAGAACGGGGGCGGGTCAAGGTCAGACTGATACCTTCCGCGATCGCAGGTCAGTGGCAGGAAGGAAAAAATGCCTGGCGGGTCAATGAATCAGATCGTCGCGATGTTAGGTCAGAGACAGGCCAATCGCAACTCATAAACAGTCGCAGAAGGGCGGCTGTCTGGTTGACTAGTCTGGTGGGAGAGCACCAGGGCAGATTTGGGCAATGCTTGGTGCTGAGGAAGGGTGCAGGAAAAGGAGGGACGCACTCACCCAGGCCGAGGAAGGGGGTTCGAAATGGAGGGGTGGTCAACACGGGTCAACGGGCAACGACCTACCGCGGACGCGACGCGGCGGAGTTGCGATTGGTGGGGGAAAGGGGGATGGATGGGGAGTAGGGAACGCATTCTTGTTATGATCAGAGTAATAACAGGCAGTGTAATAATGTAGAGGAGTCGTGATTCAAGAGTGTCGATCAGGGCTTCAGATTGGATTTTGAGGGGCTGTTGGCTCAGGATGCCCCCAGCAGGAGCCCCCGTTTTTCAGGGTCGGGTTTTGAAATTTGCAAACATTTTCACGGTAATTTTTTTCGAAGGCTGAATTATCAGGACTGGATTTTTTCAGAGCTGAGATGATAGGGTTGAACCTTGGCGATTTTTTAGGGTGGTTAGGATTTTAACCTAGCACATTAAGTTAGACAGTGCATGTTTTGTCATGCCAAAAACAAAATAAGCCTGACTCATCAGGTATATTTTGTAGGGTTCTTGTTGGGCTGAGAACAGGCCTCAAAATTGGTTTTAGGCCACTCTTAGGAATCAGAGTGCCAAAAAAAAATTACCCTGCCGGTCAGAGTACAATTTTTCTCAAGTCTGATTCAGCAGGGTAGAACATTCGGCACTCTGGGTGCTCAGGGTAAAAAAAGCAGAACCCAGTTTCACGTTATGAAATGCACTATATTCCTAGCTACACTGCATGTCAATAATTAACATATGGAAATAATTAGCATGAACTAGGAACGTAGGCAAGGAAAATCACAACCACACGACCTACAGCACACTAGGATCCTCTAGTGGAACTGGGTCAGGGTCAGGGTCAGTCCTTATGGTGCCTGCATCTGCAGAAGCCGCAGCTGGAGTTGGGTTGGCAGAACACAAGTCGCGCAGAGGCCGCCGCCGCTTCTCACCTCGGAAAACAGCTACCACATCAAACCAGTCAATCTGGTAGCACAGGAGCGAGCACCGCATCAAGTCGCCCAGGCTGTCATCGCCAAGGCACCCACGACTCCATGACTTGATCAGATTTTGCTTCGAGAAACCACGTTCGCACTCCACTGTGCTGAGAGGGAGCACCGCCAGTGCCTGCCACAGCTTGAGGATGTTGGGGTAGCTCCGCTGCCACTCATTGTTGTCCAGAGTCAAGGTGAGCCCCTGTTGAAACTCGTCATCTTTGTACTGCGACACCATGGTAGCAGTAAACACCCACAGCTCCGTGACGGCCTTGTTGTAGTCGAAGCCTACAGGATGGTGGGGTTGGGATTCAAAGGATAGGAAACAGTAAGCCTTTGAGGGGAGATGTGCAACGAATGTTGCTGCAAATGGATTGCGGGGACTGCAGCCTAAGAACGGACACGCAAGCATCGATGACAGGCAGCATCATCGAGAACAAATCTGTCTCACCTGGGAGCTTTCCATCGAAGAGGTTGTGGGACTGCTTCAGCCACTGCTTGCATCTCGCTAGGCGCAACTCGTCGTCTCGTGGGTAGGTCTTGGCTTTGAAGAGCTTGCATCCTTCCATGTTAGCCAGGTCCTTCAGGCGGGCACGGACGTTGGTGACGACATCGATTGCATGCTTCCGGCAGACTTGGGCGCAGGAGTCTAGGTCGCTCTTGGTGTTGTGCCCCTCCACCATCCGCTCATGCAGCACATACTCGAACGCCTGAGCATTCCCCTCCGAGTCAACGCCTTGAACGCGCACGCGGCGCTGGTCGGGCCTCCCGTGACGCTCCAGGAATTTCCCAAGCCTCTCGCTGCCGTTCCCGAAGAAGAGACCACCGCCGCACTTGATGTAGCGGTCGGTGATGCGGTTGCACGTGTTGTCCACCACTGAGGCCACGATTGTGAGATCCACCTGCAACGAAAACACAGAGATAATTTCAAAGCAAACAGGGCACCATGAACGACATGCAAAATAAACGTGCAAAGTATGACTGAGTGCCTAGATGCAAGCACATGGTACTGACGACATTCAACGATGAGAGGAGTGTCATACCTGGCGCTGCTGGAAGCGGGTGTTAAGGTGATTCAGCTCCTCCAGTATGTCGGCGAGGTAGTGCAGCATGAACTGCACCTTGAACGACGTCACAATCTCGAAAAGACCGCTGGGGTGATCACGCAGCAAGACGATGGCCGCCGGCAGCACTTCGACGAAGCGGATCACCGCCTCTCCGCGCGACAACCAACGTACGGCGTGGATCCCTTGCATCTCTAGATTGGTGTTGCAAAACACCAGCTGGAAGTTTATGAAGCTGAGGTGCTGATTGTTGGAGCGACCGACGAGCTCGGCGAAAGCACGGATGAGCATGTCGATGATCTGTAGCTCGGCCACAGCAGCGGCAGCATCCTTCGCCGCAAGTGCCTCTCTGGCGGGAGGAGTGGATTAAACACAAAAAAGCAATGAGTCCGACAAGCAGAGGAAAAGCATACGGTCAACGAGTACAACACTAGAACAGATGCAATGATTTGGAGCGTTCTACTGAAAACATGAGGGTAGCGAGTAAAACACCCCACCTATGGGCGATGCAGTGAACAGCCATCAGGTGCTCAATCCGCCTCTTTAGGCGGGTTACCACTCCCTGTTGCACACCGGTCATTACCGATGCTCCATCGGTAGCCATCCCGACGATCTTCTGGAGGTCGAGACCGATGTACTGCAGGTACTGTAGAAGAACCGCCGTCAGAGACGCCGCATCGGTCCGCTCGACAGTTAGCAGAGTGACAAACTCTGTGACTACCGAGTTGCCACGAAAGAACGTAGCATACAGAATTAGATGCTTCCCGTGCACGCGGTCCGTGCTTTCATCGATGGCGATGCCGACAAACGGGGAGCTCAGGATGTGGTGGAGCTGCTCGTCCTTCAGGTACTCGGAAATCGCCTTGGTCCCTTGCTTGAAGCCATAACTGGTAGGGGGAGATGGGAATGGATAGGCTACTGGTAAGAAAGTTGGAGAGCAAGTGGACACATACAAGGAAATTATGGCAACGTTCGATGTCTGCGGCGACATGCAATGCATTGACGGGAGAAGAGGGATTCGGATATCAAAACTCACTCCGTGTAGTAGGTCCCATACGCCCGACCCTGCGGGAGATCGGGTAAGCCCTCGGACACGAGGAAGTAGCAAAGCGCCACGTACATCGTGATGGGCGCGTCGGCCTTACAGACAAAAAGGGCGATATGGAAGCACCGGATGAGATGTTTCGTCGATGCATCTGTCACCGCCCATCGGTCTAGCGTCTTCTGCTGATCCGTCTCTTTCTCCCGTTCTTGCTGCGCCTTGACAGCCGCCTTGTGAGCACGTGTCCCAATGTGGATTCGGATGCTGCCCACCTGGAGATCGCGCGCACCCTCTCCTTTCCTGCCATATGAAGTGTTGGAGAAAGCATCACCGTACTGGAGACACAGGGCACATTTGAGGGCAGGTCGGCCGTTCTTCATACGAGTAAGTCGGAGCCACGGGAAGCGTCGTGACCAGTCGTCCACGAAGCGACGATTCACGACCTCATACTCCGCGTCGACATGAGAAGCGGGATTCTGGGGCGGAGTAGGAGCAACAGGCGGAGGAGTAGGCGGTGCAGCCGGCTTCTTCGGCGGTGGCGCCCAAGGAAGCCGACGCTGAGTCCATGGTCCGCAGTCCTTCCTCTTGGCGGGAGCGGTGGCGACAGACTCAGCAACTTCTGGTGCCTCGCCAGAAGTGCCTTCGCTGTGCAACAGGTTGAGGTCGATCGCCTCAGCAGCATGAGAAGAGCAAGGTGGGGACGTTGGCTCAAAAAGAAACTGTTGCGGAGGGGGTGCACGCTTGTCGAGCGAGGGATTGCGCGGCGGGGAAGGCGCAACTCTACGCGGCGGGAGGAGGGGGAAAACCCCAAGAACGCTGAGTCCATTCAGTGGGGGAGGGTCAGGAGGATCGGCAGCATCGAGCGCCATGGCTGAAGGACGATCCAGCTACTCGAAACTCTACTGGGTGAGGGAATGCTCGTTGCAAGTCAGGGGGCATGGTTTCTGGAAGAAACGTATGGAGAAGAAGGGCGTTTTGCGAGACACAAAAGGTGTGCAGTCAAGAGCCTCGTTTGGGACCGCTCAGCTCACAGGAAAAAACCTGTGAAGTTGCTGCATGCATCAGCATTCACTGTCGGCGCGCGAACTTGTCACCCAGCGAGGAAACAATGCTGCCACTCTAACCAATCGTAAGGCGGCGCAAAGCCAACGAGGTGGTACCATCAACACGTGCCCATGCGCATGTGATGATGGTGGGCAACAAACTTCGGACTGACGAGGGGCGTGGCGGTGGCGTGGCGGGCATCACTCGCACAAAATCTGGCACGTATCTTGCCTCTTTGGAGTTTCTGTATCAGGGTAATTTTCATTCTACCCTGACGCCTCAGGGCTGGGAGGCGCCCAACCCTGGTTCTAGCAGGGTAAAAAAAGGCGAACACTTTTTGAATCAGCCTTAAAAAAATTACAAGTCGGATTTTTAAGAGTAACATGAAAAATACCCGGAAAAATCAGGGCAATCAGGGCATTTCACCCGGCTATTTTGAGGCCTGGCTGAGAAAAGCCCTAGGATCTTTTCAGATACTAAGTCCCACTTGTATGAAGTGCTTGAGTAGTGCAGCGGAAGTGTTGAGTATTTGAACCCTTGCACTAGTATGTGAGAGCAAGTGATTGATTAAAAGAAACAAGCATACAGCAATATATAGAAAATAAGATATGAAGCATGATGGAAATACCTCGAAAACTTAAGCGTTTCTGAAGTGTAACACTACACTCGAAGGAAAGTCGTATCGAGTACGCGAGTCAACGGAGGTTACACGAGGAGGTTGTGTTCATACTATATTTAATATAATTGTAGGCTTGATAGTTGTGCTACTGCATCCTATTGTAGAGGGGATAACTTCCCTTCTTGTAACTGATTCTCTTCTAGTTCAACACTCTTCTCT